CCACTTTCCATAATATCATACATTCCTTTGCAACTGCTCTTATATTCTTGTTTTATAGCCTGCAGTGGAGAATCCCACTGAATTGAAATGATGTTACAATGAGAAACAAAGCATTGAGAGACGAGAATTAGGATTATTGTTTCTATTTCTCTTGTAATAAAACCAGTTAACATCATAATCAATGCCCATCTTTATGGAGGATTAGTTCATGAAGACATGTAAAGTCACCTCTTCTCTTATAGTCAGCCTATAATGTCACAGAAACAAAATTACATTAATAGTTCATAAGCTTTTTATCTACAAATGTGCAGCCTCAGGCTTTTTAGCTTGCAAGTTACCTAGTCCAGCTAACTTGGGACTGCACCGAGGACCTCCAGAGTTAAAGCAGTAATCCTTTACAGTCTGAGCTGTGGAATCAAAGTCCAAGAGCCAAGACAGACTCAGTTCCTCTGGGATATTGGCACTCAAGGGATGCAAAATGCATACTGACCACAGATTTATATAGCCTTCTCTGATCAGTAGAGATTGGCACGGGAAGCTCTGTTGAGCTTCCACTAATTATGATGGCAACAGTGTTGGCAAGAACATGCAAGGAATTATAACTTGACCTAGAGTTAGGAGACTTCGAGTAAGTCTCCATTAGCAACTCTGCGTCACGTATCTGAGATAACTGAGATAACTATGCCTACATACCTCAGCACTGCTCCAGGGAGAGAGATCAGCTCAGGACCTAAAAAGTACAATGCCACATTAAGCTGGCACAATTAGCCCCTGTGTTAGCCAGGCTGGTCCTACTCTACACATCCGAACTAACCTGTCTGCAGTTAGCTCTCTCTGTGTTACAGATACCCACAGAGTGGAATAGCCAGCTGGTGAGTTCAGGGGCCAGATCCAGTTCACGAGGCAGAAAATGTGGTCCCTGGGGAGGGCTGGCTGATCAACAGGCCAGACAAACTCCTATTTCTGTGTGCCTGCTTAAGTGCGTGAAAGGGCAAGGCACAGGTCAGCAGCACTTATTAAGCTGCCAGTAAACCAGGACACACATCAGACGCATACCAGTGGGTTACACAAACACGTGTTTGCAGAGCTTGGCTCACATGGAGTTTCAGTGACTTCACATGAGCACAGTCACACGTGTGCAGAAGTATCTGTAGGATTATGGACTAATTATGTGCCTAGCCAGCCCCCATATGATCTGTACGTTAAGGGAAAGATTAGCATTTGATGTCTGTTTCAAATCGTGAGCAGCCCTGCTGCAATTAATCACAGCTTGGCTGATAAAGCATACTGCACTGAAATGACAACATGCATTCTGGGAAACTAACGCTGTCATCTTTAGCCACAACAAGGTTATTTTAAACCTCAGAACAATGAAGGTTTGTCACTGAGCCCCTTGTCTGATCTACTCATTCTGAACGCAGCTTTCTAAACAAGTAAGAAGCAGATGGCCCAAAAGATCATTTACCAAGGTTTAGTTTTCTCTTCTGGACAGAAGCTTCCAAAACAGGGATATGCGTCCTCAGAAACCAAATACTGCTTTAAAGACTGAAACTATCAGGTCAATATATGGAACACAAACATTAAGGAACCCCCATTTATCAGCACTCAAACAAGAGGAATATGTGCGCTACATCACTGTACATAATTGCTGAGCACTCACAACATGATTTTATTAACTGCTGAAGTAAACTGGATTAATTACTGCCTTTAAACTAATGCTGGCATTTCTTCAGTTTCTCTCTCCCCATTTAATTCTTCCTTTTACAGCATTTTGCCCACTTTCCCTACAATAGTTAAGTCCATCCTGGAACATATACAAAGCTATGTAACCATCTTTTGTAAATGACACGTAACTATGTGTGCTTTCCCCAGCTTTTTACAAACTTAATCAAAACTGAACTCTTCGTCCTTTCCTTGCAAGCAGATAGTAAAGTCTCTCCCAGGAATTAATTCACTAACCTATTAGTTTCTGAAAGAAAAAGGTACTCCTGAAAAACTCCTGATCAGCTTTTGTTTTAAATTCAGGTCTTAGTTTTTATCATGGGCTGATACCAAATCCACTGCTAAAACCTGCAAAACTATTACAGTGAAGAAATGTTCCATGATCTAGGCCTATTTCCAGAAGTCTGGCTAAAATAGACCATGCAAGGGAAAGATTGGGCAAGCTTCTTCCTGGAGGAACAATGAATCTACAGCTTATCCCACTGGATTTTGGCTTGACCTCAACCTCCCACAACAGAACCCACAATAGCATCAGCTGCTTGTCCATCTACTGCATCCATCAACCTGGAGCCTAATGAACAGTTGACCTCCACAACAGTTAAGCCTCACCTCAGCAGGTGCAGCTACAGTTGTGGGTACTAGCCTGGATCACTCACTCATACCAAAAAGATGAGGCTGCTTCTTCAGTACACTAGACTGACACTATACACTAATTCAGTGCTCACAGGTGAAACCTGTCTGCTTCTTTAACAGGTCCTTCCTGCTCCTTCCACTGTCCTGAGTTCATGGGTTTGGACGTTCGTGATTTTTGAGCATCGGGTCACCTACATTCACCAAATCATAGGATAATTCAGGCTGGAAGGGACTTCCTATTCAACACGTCAGCTCTGAGATCAAACCAAGTTACTCAGGGCTTAGTCCTGTCTCTCAACCACACTGTTGCTTTCAGCAAGACATAATCTTACACTAGTAATCATCACCACTGTTTGATTTCCATCGCCCACTGTGTGTTGCTGAATCTTAATGCCAACCAGGCGGTTTTCTGAGCTGCAGCTTGTACCTGAATTAATATTTAGGGCTGTTTTGCCACTCGCCTATTATTTATACAGAATTCAGAATGTATAACAAGAATAAATGAAATCACTTGACATGATGTCCTAACTCAAGCAGTTTAGCAGCTTATTTCACAACAAAACAAGCAAAATGAGGATGGTAAATAAATGAGGGAAAGAGCCATGGTTACAGTGAAAATCTCACACAGCTTAGATACGTGCCTGCTGCCTTGCTCATCTATACACGGCCTTGACAAATTTGCTGATACGTTCAAACAATAAATCATTTCGTGTGGTCAATACTGAAGAAACTTTAGGAGGGATTTGCATGTTGAGAAGGTGATGACTTGGCAAAGACTGGAAGGATTTTTTGTGCACAGGCAGGAATAGGACCCAGAGGTGGGTATCAAAGTAGGTATTACGGGGGGAGATGTAACCAGAAACAGTCTGAGGTAAATTCTGTAGGACGAACATGACTTGCAACTGGTTTATTGCTCAGATCAGCATTTAAACCTAACATTGGCACATTCTTTAGGCACTTCAGACCAAATCACACCCACGTACAGTGTCCTCTCAGCTGATTATACCCTCTTGTTACAACAGCATATTACACAGTCTCCTAATCTCATTCCCTTATTGTTTCACCAATACAAGATGAAGCGGGACAAGACAATGAAAACCTGTGAAGGACAGGAAGACTATTAGCAGTGCAGAGCTTGATTTTTCCTTCAATAAAAGCTTGAACAGGCCCCTGAACCCTACAGAAATGACTGCACATTCTGCAGCAACTGGAAAAAGAGACCAGGACCTCCAAGGCGACAAGTTCCTTCCACTAGACTTCAGTCTCTTCTCAAACCACAGACAGAAGTTGAAAACCCAAAGGAACAAAAGGCAGGTAGAAACACAAGCTGTGTATTGCCCTTTTTCAAGCTCTAACTCATACCCAGGTTAAGTTCTTCATCACAGTCAAAGTCAAGGTAAAGAAACAAAACAATGCCCACAATTTTTGGCATGTGCACAGTATTCCCATAGAAAAATGTATTCACATCAATAAAAGTGGGAATTCCACATACAGATTGGAGAAAGCAGTTGGGTAGATTTTCAGCTTCTAAATAAAACTGAAGTTATAGCGCGTATAATTGTCCTACCAAAATCACTTTGTGGCAAAGTAATATCCTGCAAAGCTGAAATTATGTTCCGAAATCTGAATTAAGGCTGATGTTTCAGCACATGAGGCACTGCTGACACAACATCAAAATATAGCAATTGCCCTGAGTTAGACAGAAAGGAAGAGTTATTAAAAGATTCTTTGCTCTTTCTTGCCAATATTGTCACATGAAAGTTTTCTGTTGTGCTAACATCCCAATGGCATTCAGAGTTCTGGTTTTGCTAAACTATGTCACATGTTTTGAATCAGGAAGAATGAAATCTGCCAGCACAAAACTGTCTTAACCTCAGGGAAGACCAGACCAAGCAAGACAGAGTCCCTGCTGGTTTTACACAAGAACTTCAATCTGCCTCACATCCTGCGGTGGAAGCACATCTCCAACTGATGTTGAACACTTCATCAGATAAGGGTCTGTCCCCTTACACTCTCTGTATTCAGAATCTTTTCAACAGACATAGTTAACCACACATTTGCACTGATTTACTGAAAACCAACATAATCTTACCCATTAGCAGAGTAATTGCCTGGCTGTCTTTCACTCCACACTTCTCTCCCAGCTTCCTATGGCTAAATGAGTCCCTCCAAACAGGCTTTTCCCAGTGGAAGACAATGTGTTCTTCTGTGTCTTATTTCAGATGCCTTCACTTTTCACAGGGCTGTAACCATCCTGTTTTCTACCTGTCAAGCTGAAACTACTTTACCCCTATTCAATAATACCTAATTCTATAAACAAGCATATGGAAACCAGTGACAATCCCCAGGGAAGATGCTGCCCATGACATGCAAAGCCTACCTGGACACAGAAATCATTGCAATGGCTTGGTTCTGTTGGTAAGACTCAGAAGGCCAGTAAATGCAGTGGATTACCTAATCAGTGATTTATAGTGATAATGCTCTACCTATGTGCACCTCAGGTCATAACAGGATATGGATTTGGAATTAATAAAATGTTAATAATCCAATGGCTCATCTTTTCCTGATTCACTAGGGATAGCTCTTCTTGCATTTTATATAAACCTGTCAGATTTCATAAGCCTGTAAAGTCACATAAACCAGTGGCAAGGTGTGAAAGAACACATTGGTTTACAAGAACCTGCCCTCTGATTCATGACAAAACTTTACTGACACTATTTATGTAAGAAGCAAGCACTTCTAAGGACTCACCAGTGAACTTCCAAGCAGGGGAAAGCAATACTTGCCTGAACCTCAATGTGGGATGGAGTCTCTGAAGAAGAGCAGCAGGCGAGATCCTCTTCTTGTGTCATGGGTAGGTCTTTCATGGAGACTTCTGTCCTTGACTCTTACCTTCAGAAGAATCCAGATGATTTTTCTCTTTCTGAGAGCAATTCCCACTGAAGTCATCGAGTTAATCCTATAAGAGGGGAGAAAAAAAAAAAGAGAGAGAAATTTATTCCTATGTAGAGCAGGAATAGAAGGGTTGAGCTTCACTGAAATCCCACAGGGAAAAGTTAAATAGGTGCCTGGCTCTTGAGCTGACACTACACACACAGCATTTCAACCTCAGATCACAGAGTGGATCTCGCAGGAGGGGAAAAGCTTTTGTATTTTCTAACACTAAAAGCAACATGAACACAAGTTGTGTTGATAAGCAAGGAGATAAAATCCATTCAAAACAATTAAACACACAGCAAAGTTTTCCCTTCGCTACCTGAAACACTCCTCTCTCAGTCCCAAGGCTGTAACAGCTCCCCAGTCAGTCCCCCTGAATCACTCTTTCTACAGCAGAATACATCTGTGGGGACAAACATGTCTGCTTTTGCTCTGAGTAAACTACTTTTTCCTCCCAGGTAGACCTAGTATCTCAGCCATCGGATTCCCACTGACACTGTGGAATGTCCAGACATGCCAAATTCCACCCCGGCTCTTTGGAGAGGATAGTATTTCCCTAACCCAGACCTACCTAAAGAAAGCACATGAAGTTATTCAAATATTTATCCCTAGATTCTGGGAGGTCAGACTGATATCACTTCTACAGGCGTGAGTCTGGAGCAATGACTGAAACTCAGGATTTACACCCGTGTGTTTGCAATCAGCACAAAGTCACTCAGTGGGCATCTCTCACCAGAAGTGTAAAATGAGAGCTTTGCATGCATAAAGCACTGCAAGATAAGCCCACAGTCTCAAAAAGCAAAGAAATGAGCCAGGCCTGATTCTGATGCTGCATCAGTATTCAGCAGTGGTTTCAGTGGGGCAGCTCGGTATTTACACTGGAGTAAGGAAAATCAGGATTAGGCACCATCTGTCTCGGAGAGTCAAGCGACCAGAGCTGCTCTACACATTAGAATCCTCTTCCCCATTTCTTTAATCTCTTACACATTCCAGGTTTTCCATTCAGCTTCAGTGACAAAAGATTTTACAAAATGACAGTCCAGATTGAGAGCACAGAAATGACAACCTCTGACAAAAGAGATACTAAACTTTTATCAACGATAAGTGCTCCTTGCACACAGACACTGGTCTGCAATGGCAAATATAAGGCAGATGTCGAATGGAAATTAAACATTGTGCTCCCAGGGTGGCCTCGGCTGCATTCAGTTTGATTTAAAACAAGGCCAGAGTTCTTTCATCATTTCTTCAAAGTTTCAATTTTAAAGATATTCCAAACAGACACATACTTGACCTAGAACTTGGCAATGCAAGACAACATATATGTGTAAAAAAGCCTAATACGGATAATAAAAGGCACAGCAAGTTGCCTGTAGGATGGACTGAGAGAATTTGTTCATCAAATCACTTCTATTTCAGTGTTCTGAGAGTTAAAAGTGAATTCAGGTGAAATATCTTTACCCATTTCTTTCAAAGTAAATTCACAGCAAACACCTATAAGCTGGGAGGCTCAGACAACTAAATATTCTTAAGCATAAGCAGAACAGTAGCCTAACTATTTGTTAGTTTAAGAAGTATTTCACTGTTAGCTTCTTTGAGACTTAACCCATATTTACATCTGTGGAAGCACTCTGCCTGTTATTATTAGAGATGATAAAATAGCACTAGACATTTGCAATGACTTAGATATTCAGACTCTAGAAGCACACATTTGAGCAGTCTGTAGTGTTTTCTTTTTATAATTTCTGATAATGCAATAACTCAGTGGAAATAATGTAATAATAGGTTTTTAAAACGAAATTCCAACCTGCTAAATATACTGTACAGTTAAAGTAAATATAAATTTAAGGGTTGAAAAGATGCTCCTGTTTACAAAAGCAGCTAAAAGCATAAACCAAATTACATTTGCTTCCCTTTAAATTTGACAGATATTTTAAGCCCCAAAAAATCCTAGAAGTGCAATTACTCGATTATTTGCACCTTGGATATGTAACTATGTTTGTACTCTTCTTGGAAGCCGTATCTTAGAAATCAGTTCTTTCTCTAGACAATTTAATATCAAATGCAGTAAAACAAAAAACTTTTGAGGCCATGACTTTGTAACCTCCCCAAAGTTTTGAACACGGGAAAAGCTGGCCTGTTCGCACAAGACAATCAAACACATACCTAAACATCAAGTCATGTCCTGTATATCTATTTCTCCCCCCATGAAAGGAAGAAATTGTGACAAGATTTTACTTTTAGATGACCTGACACCAGCACTTCCTGGCACGAGCAGGACGGTCATCCCCCCCTTCATTTCCCAGTCCAAGATTCAATCATCTGAAACACAAACCTCAGTCTGCACTGAGAGATTTTCGAACAAACCCAAGTTGCAAACAGTCTCTCTGGCCCTTTTAAAAATCATTTTCCATTGCTTTAAAACAGAAAATACAGATGGATGGATGAATGAATGGACAGCTAGAGAAATGCTTTCAGTCATGCTTCCTCCCCCCGACACCCCCCCACCCCAACCCCCCCGCCTTAAAATTGAAAAGCATCAGTATCCAAATAGCAACAGGAAATTTTTACCTTGTGGCTAAATAGCTCACTGTTCACTTTGCAGCTGCCTCTATTTTTTGCTGGGCAAAAAACACCAATACAAAAGTCTTTCCTAAGAAACCAAGCTTTTGACATAAGGGCAGCGACAAACGCAAACCTACAAAGAATTTTTTCCCCCCGTCCCGTCGTTATAATTCCTAATTTTGTGGGATGTATTGCTGGGCTGTTTATCATAACAGTGTGCAATAAAAAGGACGACTAACTCTTGCAATTTTCTCCCTACTCCTCCCCTTGACAGGGGCCACTGATAGGGAAAGAGGCTCGGAAAAGCAGAGCAGTGAAAGGCTAAGAAACAATAGGCAACCATGGCTTTGACAATGCAGCCCTGAACCCTTTTTGCTCCCGCTGTGACACTTGCATTCAAGAGCAAGGGCGGCTGCCATCATAAGAATGGACAATGGCATGAGGAATACAAGGGAGAGGGGGGATAAAAAAAAGAGGAAAGAAGGAAATCAGATGAATTCAGAGCTAAGATGGCAGAGCTCTCACCTTTTCCGCTTTTTTTCGAGTAATCTGGATGGAGACGTCCCGCAGAGAAGAGATAAAAAGGGTGTGCTGAACTGTTGGATGGTTCTGAAGACTTCTGCATTTGCAAACGCATTTTAGAACTATTTGTAGGGGTATATATGCTGCATGCCATCTCTCTGTCTCTGTCTCTCTCTCTCTCTCTGTGTCTCTCTCTCTTCTGTTTTATGTCCTGCTATCTCCATCACACACCTCTAATAGTATGAAGACTTTCTGCCCATGTAAGTAAGTGAGAGTGTGTGTTCCTTAATGTTTGAATCAAGACACACGTCCGCATGCATTTCTAATCTAAGGAGCCTATAGCAGTTACTACAACTATCAATTAGTCAGCAATAGCTTGAGATCCCCATGTGTCTGGGTGAACAAAGGTGAGAAACACATGCAAATAGTACTACAGCACCTGGGTCACGTACAGTAACTTATCTCGCAACAAATAATTGCATCTGTTTCTGCCTTTTCGGTGCTTCTTGCTCATTATTATGTAAAGTTACAGGTTATTAATGTGAATACTAACACAATTAGACATGGCATTGTATATTTTCATTTGAACACCACAATAGAAGGAAATTAAGCTTAACTAGATAGAAATAAATGGTGACTTAAAGGCTTTAAAATAAAAGCACTGTAGCAGTGCTTCCATTTTTTTTGATCAATTGTTCCTGAGTTAAAGATGCAAATGATGTAGATGTATTTGGTCATTTCATATATATTAGATAAGAAACTGATTATTCCAGAGCAGACAGAGTGGATGCCTAATTTCCTGAAGTTAAGTCCATAAAGAGGGTAAGCTCATTCTGTTCCTATTTGTTTTAATTAAGCGACTGTTACTTTTAAGATCATTTTAAGGGTGTATTTGCAGATGGTTTAGACTTAAACCAAACAATTAAGAAACAAGATACGGTACCTTTTACTCCCTCCTTTTTTATTAACCTCCAAAAAAAAAAAAAAAAGAGCCTTTAAAAACCATCAGAATCAAAATGAACTAAAAAGATAAAAAGTGCCCTGAACAAAATCAGAAGCAATAAAAAGAAATAAGCTCCAAAATCCAGCTCCACCCTGACTCCACCACAAGCAAAGACAGAGCTAGGCTGCTGTCCATGAGCAGAGAGCATTTCAAAGGTGACAACACGGTCTATGGACAATGTTATTTACACAGATTTGAGGAGAGCGACTACGGCTCCGAACTGCAATTCAATTCTCAGGAATTATACCCCCTGTTTCCAAGTGCAGGGAACGCCAAAAATCAAGCAGTTTGACAGAAAGAGTTTGGAGCTGAGAAGTAAGCAGTTTTTCCCCACGTTCAATATGCTCAGAGTCCTGCTGCATAACCCTCTATCGTTAGCTCCCTTTCTACTTATATCAGCTTCCATGGGAGGCTAATTAGTGACACCAAAGGAAAAACGTTCTTCCCAATACTGGGCTCCAAGAAACTGTCAAGTTTATTTAGCTTTAGACAGCATAAAGAGGAAAAAAACCCATCTTACGTTTAATACAACAGAAATACCTCCTTAAAGAAATCACTCCCCAGCTCCCTCACCTTTTAAGAACAGGCTAGTGGCTACAAGATTACAGCCGGCCACTGCGAGCCACACAGAAGGTGCTCACAATGAAGCCAGATTAAAGCAAAGCTGCAGCAAAACAACGTCTTTGCCCACAGAAGCCCTGAGTGCAAGCGTCCCAGAGCTGACTGTACACCGTAAAATAAAGCAGTAACGGGCTTGAAAAGAAGCGGCGCTCAATGGGTGTTGTGCTGACCCGCCATGCAGTTTCATTGCAAAACTTAGCTGTTGGGAATTGCAGGCGCTATGGAGACAGAAGATTTCCAATGTGCCAAGCGCTGAGTTTATCGTAGGCTCTTTGCTCTCTCAAAGACAGGCACCGCATAGAGGACTAGCACAA